GGATATTAATTTCCTTTTGACTTATCGCAGATGCTTTATAATTCCATTGAAATCTTAAGATAATTGAATGTAATTGTTTAAAGAATTATTTAAATCACAGTGTAACATCTGAAATAAAATGACAATCTGCAGGAGTTCATTCATTTTGTTGCCTGGAATAGATACAAGTAAAGAACTTCATCTAATCAAAGTCCTATGCATGTTGTGTGTATATAGTACATATGTGCAAGTAGTGTGCATGTAAGGTCCAATTCAGCAAGGTGCAGCAGGCTTCTGTGGTTCTGCAGACAAATACAGGTAGGTGGCAAACATAGTGATAATCCTGTTTAATGTTACTGGTAAAAAAATAATTGGCTTGGTGCGGGTGGGAGGTGGGAAGAAGAGGATTATTAGTGGTGGTGGAAATTTAAGATGCGGCAACGCAAGGGTTTGTAAGGTTTGATTCTAGTGCATGGAAAAAATACCCAAATGCTTTGAAGGGAGATAAACAAAACCATCCCAATCCATCTAGTCAGATGGTTTATGCCTCTTCCTAGGCCAGTGGTTTGGCTGTCGCTTGGAGGCAGGTGTGGTCTGGGATCTAGTCTGTGATCCAAGAACTCTTGAAGTCTAATCCTGGCTGTAGTACTAACCCCCGCTGCATCCTGGGGCAATTCACTTAGCTGTCCTCTGCCTCCATTTCCCCATCATTTGCTTTGAAAGTTCAGTTCACAAGTTCTTGGGTTCATTTCTGCTTGGAAGAGATTGTGAAGGAGAGCAGCAGCGGGGAGGCAGAAAAAAAATCAATACAAAATAATTGGTGCAAAGCAAATACAGAGGGACTGTGATAAATGGAATGCCAGGGGGAGGAGGGCGGTGAGAGAAGGATCAATGCATCTGGTATATTTACTGCACAGAGTGACCATATGTGCCAGGCTTGGGTTTAGTTGGTTCACGACCCTTGTGCTAATCCACTTGGGAAGAAGCTGGATTTTTAAAAGCTGAATTGCCCTGAGATGGAGAAGGTTTACATTTTAGGTAATAAAGCCCTTTGCCAATACAGGGTGTGATCCAAAGCTCACTGGAGTCAATAGAAAGCCTCCTGCCGAGTCGAGTGGGCTGTGGATCAGGCTCATAGGGTGAGGTTCACACAGCGACATAGGCTTGGTGCCATGTGGTGTCACCACGCCTCACTTCTAGGCACCTAGAAAATCCCTGGGGTTCTCAAAGCCCAAGTTAGGTGCCAAGTCTCCATGCGCCTCAGAATGGGAGTCACAGAAGCCAGCGCACAAGGTGGCTTGTCACCTAAGTTAGCCGATGGGAGATGCCAAACCAAAGGGTGTGTGCTGAACCCCACCCCTCTCCGAGATGGCACCTAAATCCAGGCTGGAGGGAGATGCCCCTCCTCTATTTGGGATTCTCAACTGCAAACCCTCTCTTGGTGTTAGGTGCCTATGTCTGGAAGATGTGCCGGGGCAGTGGGGGGGACACCTCCCTCATTACTTTAAGCCCAGTGGTTATGGTATGCACTTGGGATGTGGGAGACATCCGATTCAAGTCCTCTCCACCTGAAGGAGAGAAGGGATTTGAACAGAGATCCACCACTTGTCTAGTGAGTGTCCTAACCAGTGGGCTATGGGATCTTCCCCCATGGGGGTCCCTCAGTCTCTCCTGGTGAAGCAGTTCCACTCTGCCTAAATAAAAAATGCTTTGGCACGGGAGGATTGGATCCTCCCAGGTGAGTGGTCTAACGGACTAACAAGCTCTTGAGTCATTCCATGTGTGCTTTCTCTCCCCACCCCCATGCTGAAGCTGTTCTCCACTGTAGTTATATAATGAAAGCCTCATGAGGCATATGTGCGTGAGCCATGCATGCACAGGTCTGTGTATATGCAAACATGTAACCAAATGTGTGTTCACATAAACACGTGAGAGCAAGCTGAACCTGACACTTTAAATGGCTGTATGGCAACCTCTTTGAAAACATACTAGCCACACAGCACAGAACGGGAGGCAATGTAACGAGAGGTGAAGTGGTAAAACAAAATGAGCAAAGAACACACAGTTATTTAATGGACAGAACAGGCCTCTTTCCACTGTGAATAGAAGCTGACCATAAAAGACAGGATTGGAAAACTACAGTATCCTTCCCTTATGGAAAATCCTATGGAATGTCCTAGAACACGCTCTTTTGTACAGTGTTGCACGGACATTCGCTGCATTCATGCAGCTCCTAGTGCGTGCATTCAGCCCCAATACATTTGTGCAGAATAGAAATGTAACTACTTAAGTAATGAAAATTAATGATGTGCCAGATTCTTAAACAAACCTGCTTTTTTTTTTTTTAAATGCATTCTCTCTGTAGGGAGGTTTGTTTACCTACTACTCACAAAAGTTCGGTTATAAATTAGATTTCGCTCGAAACCAGAATGCTGGGTACAAACCCCCTCATCTTTGAGGGTAGATTAGGTTGAAATTCAAATCTGAACTCTACAAATAGTCAATATCTTAATAATGGACCAACCCAGAACCCCACACCTGAATCAGGCCCCCATTTCAGTTCTGTGATGATCAAAATCTGGCCCTGCAAGTGAGTTCATCTATTTTTAATGCTTTGGCCATTTTCCCACAATATCTTACCCTCCTTTTTGTTTATAACTTATGTTGCCTTTCCTAATACCAATACGTTTTAAATTCCTAGGGCCACAGCCTCTCACTGGACCCTGAAGACATTAGTTAGGCAAATTCTGGGATCCTTCATCAAGCAAACCTTTCTCTGAAATCAATGACAATTTTTCTCTATTTAAAGACTGCAACATTTGGCCCTAAATTAAAAATATGAACAAACTTTTTTAGTGTTGGAAAATAGCAATTAAAAACAAACAAACAGTCCAGGCTGATGTCTTGGTTCTGAGCTGCTATGTCACCCGCTCATGTTAGATGGCATTGGTAACCTCATATGACAGGATTGACATAACTGGACATGATAAACCACAACAACATATTTGCTGAGGAAAATGTAAAAAGAGAGGGATGCCTGAGAATCATGCTCCAAAATTTTAACAGATTAGAAGAGAAGGAAGAGTCTTTAAAAAGACCCTATCAAGATATTTTTTGATCACTAATAATTGTTATTGTTAAAGCTATTGGAAACTTGAAATTGAAATCTGCATAGGTTATCAGTTTTCCCTTGTTTTGTTTGTTTGTTTTTTGACTGTAGGGTTCCTCATGTGTGCTGGCCTGGTGGTACTGCTTTTGCTTTTGTTCTTTTTCAAATAGCAAAGAGAAAAAAGTAAATTTAGGACCTGATCCGCAGCCGCCATAAACCCTTTGCTGAGAGGAGCTTGCCTTTACTCTTGTTAAACACATATACATACACACATGCCAATCACATGGGTTTCATAAACAAATATACGGGAGGAGAAAGATCGGTCAGATTTGTCTGATGATTTTCCTTACACGCGGAACTCCTGTTGACATCAGCAACATGGCCAAGAAATGCGGCATTGCGCCGGTTGGGCTTAACAGCTTTGTCAATCCACAATCTCTTCCCCGCACCCTCACCCCCCACTTTTTTTTTTTTTTTTTGAGATATTAAGGTTTCTGGAACTATATTTTTTAACAAATAAGGAAAAAATACCATTGTAATCACACTAATACTAATATCACACACGTTCTTCATGAAGGGAATTAGTGGTGTGCGTTGAAATGTCTCATCTTACCTGCAGATCGTTGATTAATAGCTGTATGTCAGATGAATGCCGTTCTAGCCAACTCTTTTTAAAAAGAGCCCTGTTTCGCTAACATGTCATGCCTGAACATCAAGCGTCAAGACTTAGGCCTCCTGCTTTTACTCGTATGAGTGGAATTTTTCTTGTTTCTTTTTCTCTTTCCATCTGCTGCTTCGTAAATATACTGGGTTCAGTTCTGATCTCAGTGTACGCAGTTGTAAATCAGAAGTGACTTCACCAAAATCAGTGAAGTTACCCCAGAGTGAAACCAGTATAAGTGAGACCAAAATCAAGCCCATCACAGGTACCCACAAAAGCATTCATGTGAATAGCCCGAATATTGGTAAGCAGTACATTTTGGCTTGTAATAAATACTTAGTAGCAATGTATGCAAGTATGTGAAGTGGACAGTAGGGAGCTTTGCAACACTTTTAAACAGCCCCTTTCCTAGTATAACGTTATCTAGAACAGACAAGGCAATGGAGTGTGATGGGATTATGATAATTATTTATTGTATTTATTATAGGGTTGCTTTTTTAGCATCGCTGTGCTCAGCGCCGTGCAAAATAAATGAGGACGCAGTTTCTTCTTGAAAGTGTTTACAGTCCCAAAGCCAGGAAAAGCAACTTTCTTATCCTGACAAAGTACAATGTTATGCTGATCATAACCCAATATTTTCATGTACTGTGAATACAGTTTTCTGTGCGTCTCTATAGTACTGTACAGCTATACTCCACACTCTAGATCTGAGTGTGTGTGTGTGTATAAAGCTATTCCAATGCACATAGCATCATTAACTGAAATATCTGCAGCAACAAATCATTGATCTCTATTTTAATTACCAAAAGTCAAACAACTCATCCTTCAGGTTTGTGGAATCGTGTAAGCTCAATATTGGGCCACATTGCCGCATGATCGGGACAAAGAGATGATGATACAGTCTGGTTTCTATGGCAACAGAGGAGGGGTAGTTAAAACAGAAATGTTGCAAACACCCGTTCTGATCATCATAATATCATTAATGTTATTGCCAGAGACATTACTCTTAAAAAAGTGAAAGTGCCATTGCCTTTCAATTTGTATGGATTTTAAATAAATTAATTAATTAAATGGCAATTTTTTTTTCTTAGTTTAGCTGCTAAGCGAAAGGAAACAACACACAGGCCTCCTTTTCTGCGTGTAAAATGTGTGTGTTCTTTAAAAGGCAGTGGTTGGCTGGTTTTCCGGACATGATGTGGTTGAAGCTGTCATCGTAATGGAAATTCATTGCTGTAGCTATGGTAAATCGAGTTTTCTGCCTGTGCTGAATGCATTAGTCTAATGAGCTGTTTGCAGCTGGAGAGCTGAGCTGCTGGAGACTTACAGTGTGCTAACAGACAGGGAGAAGATGGCTTTTGCAATAGTCTGTGTGCATGTGCTGAAAGTCATATGCCCGTTAGGTCGAAATACCTGGTCTCTGTAAGACACTGATCAGTGTTTTAACATAAGCAATAGGTAAGGGGAATGCATGCTTCTTCTGTGCCTTGTTTTTGTTGTTGAGCCCTGTTTTAAGCAGCTGTCATTCTGTTGTATGCACTGCTGTATGATAACTTTAGCAATCCTAAATTGCACACTGTATGTATGTGATACATGCATACAGTGACCGTGCTGTACAATTACTATGTACACTGAACCACACCTTAACTTAGTCATGCTACTAATATTGTGTTTTCAGGAACAGTTTAATAAAGAAAGGTGCAGGGTATCAGTGTATTCAGCAGGTTTTGTCTGTGTCTGCGTCTCTGCTAGTCCATGAGCGTAACTGCTTCTCTATTTAAACTGTTTCTTTGAATACATAGAGTGTCTTCATGCTTTTTTCAAATGTAAATCAAAGTGGTTTTCTTTCTTTTCCTTGCCAGGTGCATGTCTCTTCCATTTTTAAAAGCTCCTTACCTTGAAACGTGAATAGCGGGCAGCAGTATTTACAGCATGGATTTTGTTTTTTAATGTAGATCCTCGGGCAGTCAATCTAAAAAATGATCTTTTTAATTCCCCCAAATCATGTATTAAATTGGATTTAATCCTTAGGATCCTTAACTGACAATTGCCGGAGGCAGTGTTTTTTTGTGCTGGTTTTACCTTTAAGGACAAGAGGCATCTAACTTACAAAGGACGCAGAGGAGGGCACTTTAGTTTAGTTGATTTGTCTTTTCAGATGTTTTAAAGATAGGCTTGAACATGAATTGGTACAACAGGCACAAATAATTTCTTGATTAAGTAGACACACATCATCTGGGTGGTGGGTGTGTGCAACTCCTGTTAGCCCTTCAAATGTGTCCCTTAACTTCACACGCCATCACACCGTCCAGTCTACAAAGAGCGAATCTTTTACAGAGGGTGCAGTCCCACTGGCTCAGTGAGTAATTTAACAATTGACATAGCTGGAAGTTGTTTCTCTCTCCAGAGCTCAAATGAAAGAGGCTATGAATGCCATTTGCTTTGCTTGGGGTTTATCGAAACCTGCTAATTTGTTAGAACGAAATAGCATTGGGATTTTCAGTATGGATGAGGCAAGTTCCAGGAATCCAAAGCCAGTGTAGAAAGCTGCAGAAGGAACATGTGCTAACTCGTCTATTTGGGGGGGGGGGGACTTTAATTTTAATTCTGTATTTTATTTTAAGAATACTTTGGAGACATTTTGACCAAGTATAGACCATGGGTCTTTAAGGTGCATAACACAGAGAGTAATGAAAAATAGATTTAAAAAGGGGTTAGGTAGCAATATCTGGAAGATGCAGAATTGTTTGTGTCCACAGGACTGTACCCTAAAACTTACCTTTGTGTTCTGATAATACGTACAGCTTCTTCAGAAATGCTGTGCAGACACTTTTCAGTTCAGATTAAACATTTAGAGCCAGTCAACAGCTTGTGTAAATTGTCATAGCTCCATTGACTTCAAAAAACCTGTCTCCGTTTACACCAGCTGAGGATCTGCCTTTTAGTTCTGAATGCCCAGTTTTAGAGATCTTGTTTAGACTCAGGAGCTTCCAGTCCTATCTAGCCACAGGTGACTTTTTGAAACTAAGATCTCATATTGATTTTTCCTGTACAATAAAAGACAGAAACACAGTTATTTAGTCAATGCAAGCCACACTTTGTGCCAGAAAGAATTCCACTGCTGGGTGCTGTTTAACTTACGCTTCTGGGGAACAATAACAAAACCCCTCACTTCCTGGGCTCGATCAAAAACTCTTGAGACAAACCCATTGTTAAAGTCTGTGGTGATGCAGTCTTGTCCAAAGGGGGCTGCTGGATAGATTTGCTATTTTTTTCATAGACCTATTTGAAATGGTGTAACCAGAGCACTCTTAATACAATGGTGGACACTATGCAGAAAAGAATTAGTATAAATCGTTGATTTTTTAAGTTTGGCCACATCCTGAAATCCAACAGCAGCTGATAACGTATGAATGAATGAGGGACCAGATTGCCTGTAAAGAAGACACTGCAGAGCAATGTCTTTCTCAGGCATCCCCTGAGCTCTGTGCTTGCCACAAAATGTACTTGTTTCTACTAAAAATGGACAATGCAGGGTTATAGAGTTACGGTATATTTCAGATGTGTCATCCCTAGAACTTTAAGAATATTCAATTTAATTTTGCCATGTATTTTTTTCTTTCTATAACATAATGTAACGTACTATTAACCACCCCCCTCCCTGACTGATTCTAGTCCGTCTGAGGTGAAGTTAGAAAGTGGGGTGTTGAGTGGAGTGTGCCACGAACAACTTGTGTACACGGCATCTGAAAGCCCTGCTTACTGAAGCCACCCTGCAACTCAGCGTGAAGAGGCGGTTCCTTGGTTCGCAGCTCTGGGACACTGAGAGCCTGCACTGTCCATCAGGCATACTGACAGTTGTGTACGGGGCAGCGGTCGGGGGCTACCCTCGCAAGAGACTGCAGCTTAGCTCTCAAAAGAGCATATTCACAACAAAATGAAACGAAGCGTCTTCAAAGCACAACGGCTCGCGACTCATTCTTTAATCAATGGCAAGATTTATTTTTTAATTTCATGTTCCGTAGTGGAGCCTTTGCTGCTGCAGTACAGCTTTGTTCTCCTCTGGGCTCACACCCTGACTCCGTGCCCCTGTCCCTTCGCTGCGCGTTTCAACTGGGAGGCAGCAGGAGGACCGATGAGAGGGCAAGAGTAGACTAGTGACAAGACTTCCAGCTGTCACAGTGTGTTGGTCTGTCACAGGCAATAATATCACAGTCTCGAGGCAGTGAAGAAAAGCAGGATGCCCCGATCTCATTCCGATCCTCCGTGCATCTGGGTCTTTTTGGAAACCTGAACCTGCAAACCTTTCCTTACCCCTGCCATCTCTTTGGGCTCAATGGTATCTTTAAGGTGCAGTCCTGTGCTGAGTTGCACCCCTCCAGGTGCCTCTCTGAGCCCCACAGCATGCCGCTCGAGTGCAGCTGCACTTGCATCCCTGCAGGGGGCACTGCAATATACACTTGCTCTGTGGACCACTGCAAATGGCGGAAATAGCCATGGTGCTGCCCCCTTGCCCTCCCCACATGCTTTGGGATGCAGTGTGCCTCCAGGAGAGCATGGAGGGAGCAGTGCCTGTGTTCTCCTTGGCCTTTGTAGGCCATACAAATGGGAGGGAAAGTTCCTTGGGACCTCCCCTGAAACGGCACTCTCACAGGCTGGCCTTTGGGCTCAGTGCTATTGTTCATATGTCTAAGGTACGCCTACACTGCGGTTAGACACCTACCGCTGGTCTGGGCCAGCTGACGCGGGCTCGCAGGGCTGTTTCATTGCAGTGTAGCTGTTCTGGGTTGGGCTGGAGCCCAAGCTCTGGGACAACTCCCCCTCACAGGATCCTAGAGCCTGGGCTCCAGTTTGAGCCTGAATGTCTGCACCTCAATTAAACAGCCCCTTAGCCTGAGCCCCGCGAGCCTGAGTCAGCTGGCACGGGCCAGCCGCAGGTGTCTAACTGCAGTGTAGACATCTTCTAAGTCTCAATGTAGCATGGGGCCACTGAAGGCAGAGGGCTCAAGACTCCAACAGTAGAAAGAGAGAGAAATGCCCGATTACTTTAAGTGATTATTTCTATTATTTGTGCTTGTCCTTGCACAGAAGGCCAATGTCCGCCCAGTAAGGGCTAAGCAGGAATTCTTCCCTGTTAAGGAAGGCCCTTACGCCACTCCAGCTAACTAACAGAGTTATTTTGTGGTTCTCTATACATACAAAACATGTACATGGCATGTACAAATCAGAGAGGGAGACACATTCTCTGCCCCAAACTACTGGCAACGGAGATAAACGAGGCAAATAAAAACAAGCCCTACAGACACAGGCCAGGTCAGGCAGGGGGCTGGCGAGGTGTGTCAGGAAACTGTTTGGTGAGAACGAGAAAGTTTGGAAGAACCGGGTTACAAGGCAAAATTTGAAGAAGCAAAATCCTTAGGCTCGGTGGGCCTGATCCAAAGCCCACTGAAGTCAGTGAAGGTCTTTCCACTGGTTTCCATTAGATTAGGTGCTGTCCATACTGGTATTTTCAGCAGTATCACATCTTCAGAGTGTAACATTGTAAAAGGGAGGTGTTAGTAAGAAGAAATAGAATTTTTCCCCTAGGGTCCTCTTCCGCCCCGCCCCAGCTGTATAGAGGGTGAAGGAAAGGGTTAGTACTAATCCCAATGTGAAGGAACTCTCAGATGGCTGGAAATCATCTTGCTGGCCATTAGAACTAGTGACCATATTTAGCAGGTGACTGCTACCATGGGTTTCACTGGACAGTGAAGGAACAATAATTAATAGTGTCTATTTGTACAATGGGAGACATGCCAATCTCACTTTGAATGAAAACGTATTTCTGGAATATATTATTTGTTTTAAGGTGTTGCCATATGAAGAATTGGCTTCCTGAAGAAGGGAAACAAAATTATCTTTCCTTTTTGCTATGTTCTTAAAAGCTCATTCACGACTGTGTCAGGGAGATTACACATTGTTCTATGCACACGTGCAAGAGAATTACAGTTGATGTGTGTTAAAGATGCTAATTAATTTGTTATTGACATATATATATTTAAATACAGTCTAAACTAGCCTCTTTGCACCAAGTTTTTCGACTGACAAGGGTGAAGGATTTGGCAGAAGAGGTGAGGGTGTGGTTAAATTTTCCTAACTAATCATTTAAATGCCTAATGTTGTGGGGGGTGGGGGGTTAATTGCCTTAAAACATCATGAAAACTAGAGGTTGTTGACTAAGATTGCGTGCTACCTGAAGGAAATAGTGTAAAATTGGACAGAACAAACACTGGATGGGTAGTTATGTTACATGGAAGGATGGATAATTCTTCTTGTACTGGGTGGTTTGCTCTTGTTCTGAGTCCACCTTTCCGCACTCCCACTGATTTTCATCACACAGGATACTCTGAACTACAGTCCAAGCCTTTTGCTCTCCACATGTTTTCACTTGTTGTTCTTTTTGCTGGTGGGAAGGAAAA